ATTTCCAGGGCATGCTGCATTTCTGATTCCTGGCTATCTGTGGCCAAGGGACATTGACTGCAGTCTTGAAAACCCTTTTGGAGCCACGGCCCCATTGTCCTGACAGATGCAGCAGGTTATGTGAGGCCCATCAAAGCCCAGCAGTTTCTGGAGGACAGAAGAACCTCTCCACCTGTCCCTCAGGCAGCAGGACAGCTGGTTGCTCTACAGCAAAGGGGGCAGAACAGACTAGGGAATGGACACTTCTGAAGGCCTCAGCATAAGAGATAGTGTCACTAACACTTGGGAAGACTGTTAAAGTCAGAAAACCTTGACATTTCCAGTGACAAGAGAAGGAGGCAGCCAGGGCCTGTCCCCATCTGAAGTGACTGCAGAGCAAGGGGACACATGCACCCCATCTCCCTTCTGTGGATTGCGTCTCCTCTCTCCATGACCTGTGGCAGGGATGTGTGAAAGAGTTGCAGTTCTGGGTTTCATGTGTAATGAACAGAGCTTGAGTGGTGGCAGATCCTCATGAGGGCTGGATGGAAGCAGCCATGAGGATGGAAAGGCAGCCTGCTGGAATGGTGTGGCTCTTGTCTAGCACCTGGCCCACAATGTTTACCCCACATCCAGCAATGCTAATAAGGAAGAAGCTAGTGCTCCCTCAGCATATCACATTACCCCCAGTTTCAACTATCCATCATTTCTGACTTTCGTCAGCTCTGCCTCCTTTCCTCCAGCAGAGTTAAACATATGAGCCATGGGGTCCACTCCTTCATGGGGGGAAGTGCTAAAAATTGTGCAGAAGAGGAACATCATATGTAGAAACAACTTCTGAGGGGAAGATCCCCCATAGTCAGCTCAGGAGACAGCACCTTCTGAGACGGTACTGGGAGAAATCTGTGACAGCGGAAGTCTGAGAAAGGTGGCCTTTCTCCTTTGCCACCTGAGAGAAGTGTGTGTGTGACTGACTACTGACAGAAGCAGGCACTGACTTTAAGAGGGTGCTGCAGGCTGGAGGCATCCAGTTTCACTGTTCAGAAATGCCACCGTCAAGATGAGAATGGTACCCAGAAGCAGTGAAGCTCAAGGAGATACATACTGGACATCCACAAACCAGAAGCCACTTTTAAAACTCCTTTTGGGGCAGGCTTAGAAACTGGAAATAATAATGTTGTCTTTCCTCATCAAAGTCTGACTGGGCCGTATCAGCAGTAAAGTATGTGCAGACCTTCCATGCAAGTCAATGTTAAACAAGACTGTTTACTTATTATATTGCTATGTTAACTCTGTGGCTGGTTATGTCACTACAAATCATGTGACAGTCTTAGAGTTATTTTTCTTCCTCCTGATAGGTAATATGGAGGTTTTTCCCTTTAGAATTGATTTTCTCTTCTAAATCTGACTACCCAAACAGTTGTTCTGTATCCTTCAGTTTCTTTAGTCCCACAGACCAGCTTTTGGAAGGGCAGATCCAGTATTGCAAGAAAGCCTCTCCTGCCTCTTATAGGAAAAACCCTTGCCTGGGCAGCAAAAGCATCATTCTTTCTGCTGGTACTGAGCAGAGACCTCTTCTTGTGGTTGGTGGTGACATCTACATTGGTGTCTGAGTATTTCATTCGAGGAAGAACAGCCCAGCTTCTACAAGAAGATCTGACATCTTGAACTGTGTCAGGTAAACTTTGTTAAAAACTGTGGAGTCCTTAGAAATTTCTCCTCCCTTTCAACAGAAGACTTTTCCCTAATATTGTCTTTCAACAAGTCCAAGAGCATGAAGTAGTATCATCCCTGAGGGCCAACTGGTTTGGTGCTACACGCCAAGGGAACTGTGTTTTCAACAGAGCTGAAGAAATAGGCCTCCAACAGTATGGACTGATTGCCCCACACAAGTGACCTGAGGCTCAAAGTAAGTTTATTGCACCTGCAGTTTTGGACAGACAGTAATCTGCATAGCTGAGTTTGATGATGATGATATCCAACAGCCTCATGTGCTACCTGTTGTCACTGAGTGAGAAATGGAGCTCAAGGAGGTAACATGCAAAATGCATATGAAGGGTGGGATCAGAGAATTCATTTTGTTTCCCTAAACAGTAATAAAAATGCCCTCATGATCCCAGTGCATTTGACATAACATAGTAAGAACATGATTAGCACTTAATACTGTTTAATAAATATACCCATTAACTTAGGCAACAGTAACAAGTACTTGCATGGATAAATAACAAACTTGATTAGTCAGTGGTGTGAAACAATCATGAGGAAGCAATACATTAATTCTGCTTCCCACTTTAAGGCTGAATTTGGACATCCTTCCCCAATACCCTGCAGAAATCTTCAGACACTGCAAATGCATTTGGCTATGAAAGGAGTCTCTATTTCTTTATTTCCTATTTGTTGCTAAATGGGGGGCAAAACACTCGTCTGTTATTTGGGGGGCTGTGAGAATGGGGAGAATAGAATTAACTTGTGATCTGACACTTTATAATGTCTTTTCTTGATCAGGTTTATAATTCATCAAGGTTTTGAAAGAACGATTAAATATCAGTTTCAAATCCAAATGACTGATAAATCCAAGTCATAGAGCAGATATTTTCGGCCCTTGGAGGCAGTTCCCAGGCTTGAGGACCCAAGGAATCCTGTAAAGCATCTGTAGAGGTTCCTCACAACTCTCTCTTGGTCCCCACTAAAGAATAGGGCCTGCCAGGCACCTGTCAGGGGTGGAGCTTGCTCTAAGAGGGCATGTTGTTCAGCCAGGCCCCCCATGGTGTTTCAAAGCCTGTGTTCTTCCATAGGATTGGTATACACAGAGCCACTGATCACACCACAACTGCCCTCCAGCATCCTCCTTCCTCAAACTTAGTTCTTATGGTTAAACATTTGCCAACAACAGCTAACATACACAGCAAGCACAAATACAGGCTGGGTGGAGAATGGATGGAGGGAAACCCTGAGGATAAGGACTTGGGGGTGTTGGCGGACAAGAAGTTGACATGACCCATCAACATGCACATGCAACCCAGAAAGCCAAACATGTCCTGGGCTGCATCAAAAGCAGCGCAGCCAGCAGGTCAAGGGAGGTGATTCTGTTCCTCTACTCTGCTCTGGTGAGACCCCACATGGGGTCCCATCATAAGAAGGATGTAGAATGTTGGAGCAAATCCAGGGGAGGACAGTGAAGATGATCAGAGGTCTGGTGGAACAGCTCTTCTATGAAGACAGGATGAGATACTTAGGGCTGCTCAGTCTGGAGGAGAGAGGGTTATGGGGAGACGTTATGTCACCTTCCAATACCTAAAGGGGGCTGACAAGAGAGACATTTTACAATGGAGAGGGACATTTTACAAGGGTGTAGAGACAGGACGAGGGGGAATGGCTTTAAACTGAAAATGCATAGGTTTAGATTAGATACCAGGAAGAAAGTGTGGTGAGGGTGGTGAGTCACTGGAACAGGTTACCCAGAGCAGTTGTGGATGTCCCATCCCTGGAAGTGCTGAAGACCAGATTGGATGATGCTCGGAGCAACCTGATCTAGTGAAAGGTCTCCCTGCCCATAGCAGGGGGCATTGGAACTGATGATCTTTAAGGTCCCTTCTAACCCAAACCATTCTATGATTCAGTGATTCTGTATGATTTGGCATTATTACTTGAGTAAATGAATAATTACTGAAGGGAACTTCCGAGGGCAGAAGAGTAAGCTGTGCAGCTCCTCCCAAGGCCCTCTGAGGTAGTGCAGGGAGCAACTGGTGTGCTTGAGCTGTCCTCCCCTCTCCCCTGCCGCCAGCACATGGCCCATCACTGGGGTGGTGGCAGGCAGGAAGTTTCAGGCTCATAATTGTCATGAGATTTACTCAGTTCTTCTGTTTCGTTTGTCCTATATCAAAGGTACCCAGTATAAACTGTATCCTGAAAACTTGCTTGGCAAAGAGTACCAGTAGCTGCACTGGGGCAGGTCTCAGCAGAAGGAAGCCCCATAAACGACTTGCTGATGACCTTTGATTTGAGTACCAATATTTAGAAAGCAAATGTTTAATTTAAACCCATGCCGTTAGGAATGGAAGCGCAGCTTTGCCATGGGTAACTCGGACAAGGGGTGCTGCTGAGATAGTCCTGGGCAGTGCAGGGGAAGGGGCAAGCAGCAAACAGCCCCCTTCCCCTCCTCTTCCTCACCCAGCAGAGCAGCCCACCCTGCCCATCATGCCCACACCGGGGCAGGGGCAGATGTTTAGACCCTAACAAGGCAGGTGGCTGCTGAACTAAGAAAGGTGGGAGTTTTAAAGCTGTTTCAAGCCCAAACGCAAAATAACTCTGCACATCCCTCCTGCCCACATTGCCTGAGACCCAGCACAAGTGGAGGCTGTGTGATGGGAAAGACACCTCCCAATCCAGCTGTCTGCTGTGACCAGAGCTTGACTGGCCCTGTGGGACTGGCCCCAGATCCTGGTCTTCTACCTGGCTGGCACCCACATACTGATGGGACTTTATGAAATCAATTGGGTTTGGTCAGGTGCAGCAATAGGCCAAGAGTGTATTTTTCCCTCAGAGAGGTGCAGAATTAGCTCTGTTGGTCAGTTTATAATTGGGTACTTGCACTTAACAGTATTCTTTCTGTTGGATTTTTATAGTTTTGTCTCTTCTTTTTTAAACATGAAAAATAATCAGTCTTAAAATAAAGTAATTTAAAAAAAAATACCCTGGAAAGTGATCTATAAAAAGAGAAAAATCCTTGCCAGGGGGATGCCACAGCAGTGAGCCCAAGCCACAGAAAGCCCGGTTGAAGGCTTCCCTTTTCCGCAGCTACTCAGAGGTTAACCAGGGTCTGTAAGCAAACAGCTTAAAGAAGGAGCCCGGCTTAGTGCCTGGTGTCTTGGGCTGTCCCCGAGACTACCACCCTAATGCCCTTCCAGCAGCCCCTCCCTCCCAAAGGTGATGCTGGGCAAACAGAGCCAGCCCTCGCCCTCTCCCCACGCAGCAAGGAGCCTTCTGCGGGGACGGACTGGACCCGAGCTGGGGCTCAGGGACATCGCAGAAGAGGGTGTTTCACTTCAGACGGGCGCAGAGCCACGTATATATAAACCCCGGAGCAGCAGCCCGGGAGGATTGTTTAGCACAACCACACCTCGGCTCACTTGGCAGCACGGCGAGGCGCTGCCCGGAGTGCCGGCGGCTGAACCCCGAAGAACACGAGCGTGGAACTGATCTGCCCATGGGCTCCCGCCGGCTGCTCATACTGATGCTGCTTCAGGCAGGTGAGTACCACCTCTCGGTCCCTCCGCCTTGCCATGCCTCCCCCCTGTCTGGGGACAGCCTCTCCCCTTGCCATCATCTTTGCCTTTTTCACAGCAGGCACCTCGGTGTGATCTGGCCAAGAGAGGGGGGGAAAAAAAAAAAAAAAAAAAAAAGCAGCATCTCTAGACAATTTTCAACTTTACAGTGAGGGGCTGTGCAAGTGACCTGCCTGCCTGCCTCATTTTCCAGCCCTGGCTATGGTTTGCATAGCTGGGGCTGTATAAACACAGGTCATTTTCTTTTTTAATAGTTTTCTGCTACAGAGTTTTTAGTGTCCGTTTTTCATAAAAATATCTTCTTTTTATACCAGTGACCATGGAGTAAGCAGTTTTCAATTCATCTGAATTTAAAATACTTTTTAAAAAGCTTGTTTATAAAAGCCATAAATGACATAAAGCCCCCACACACAGAGGCAACAGTAAACCGGCATGTCTGAGGTTATACCTGCAGTAGAGTTTCAAAACAAAAAGCAAAACTCTACTTTAATCTAAAGGCTACCACTGTAAGCAGGACATAGAAAGTCTGATTTGTCAGATCCACCGCTGGTCACCTCTCTGCAGGTATGTTCTTAGCTAAGGTGCTCCATTAGTAGTATAACTAATGACTGGACATGTTCCTAGTGGAAGATGTGGCTAGATGCAGGCTACTGTGGAGACTCAGAGTTTTTCAAGGCTTTCCTAGCTGTGTTGGCTTGGCTGCCCAGCATGGAAAAAGCAATTTCAGTTCTTGGTCAAGTTATTAGCTGTGCACCTGAATATTAAAATGTACTTTCTGGGGCTGACCTCTCAGCTGCAGCAACTCGCTGCTGGCTCAAAACCCAGACAGCTTTCAAAGAACAGGAACATCAGAGGCTGCCTGGATGTCTCTTGCAGAGCATGCAGCCCTAAGCACATTAATTGAGTCTTTTGGACTCAATTTCCTTTGGGGCTTTCACTCCACTTTCATGAGCAGGTCTGCACTGTAATTACAGTTCCTTGATCCTCAGAGATATCCCCAAAAGAAGAATGGCCTTTCTTCTTCTGGGTGAGGTACAGTTACCTTACACTGTTTTCAGCCAGTGGCCAACAGATCAAGTCCAGCAGTCCTGGCTTAAAAGGCCAGTGAAAGATAGCTGTGAAAAATTCAAACTGTTCATCAGGAGGCCAGAATGCCTACAAAGAAGTTTTTGTCTCCATTGGAACATTTTCAGGGTCTGCACACTACAACAGGTTAAAAAAGCACGATTTATTTCCCCGAATCCAGAGCAGCTCATTGCTTATGATTTCCCCTGAGGTCCCTGAGAGCTTGAGCCCCCTTCTAACTGCAGAGCCCCGCTGTTTAGACAAGGAAAATAAATGGTCTCTTTAGTTTGGAATAACACTCATATAATGTGTTTTTAGCACGAAACCTGAACACTCAAGTACTGTTTAGGTGAGCAGAGCAGTTACTTTTTCAGGAATGTGCATTTAATCCCCAAGGAATGCCCCAGGAAGCAGAGGGAGGCTGTGCTGAAACCCCTTGCCAGAGGTGCGATCACCAGGGTGAAAATGGTGGAGGATAGTGATGAAAATAGTGGAGGATGGTTCTTGCAGTGGACGACCAGTTCCTGCTGGGGGCTCGGGCTTCGGAGAGGGAACAAAGCCCTGCCTTGTCCTTCATAAGGAGAGACCCTCGTTGTTCTCACTGGCACTTGGATTGGGCTCGGAGGGCGAGCTAGCCCAGGAGATGTGGGGAGAAGCCCAAGCAAGGGCATTAGAGGCTAGGTTTTAAAAGGAAAGCAACTGTTTTAATAATAGTATTGAGTCCTTGGGTGGTTTAGGGGATTAATTAGTCCGTGTTTGCACAACACTTTGAAGAGGTCAAGCGTGCTGCAATAGCCAGGGGCAAGTGGCAAAGCAACTTCAGCGGCAAGTTCCCAGCTCCCAGGCATCACTTCCCTCTCCATCAAAGCGTGCCACGAAGTCCCCCTGTTTCTTTTTGGAGTGGCTGTGCATGGGTGGGATGGGCAGATGGGTTAGGCTGTCTGTCTGAGGGGTTTGATTCTACTGGTGGGTAGCTTTGTGATTCAGGATAGAGTGGCGCAAAGTGCACTTGGTCCTTCACAGTAAACCCAGGCATAAAATACTGCTATTTGTCACTATTGTTAGCATGATAAGCATCAGCATTTGCAGCTGAGCACCACAGCGGTTTGAGTATTAGGGTCAGGGTACTCTTGGTTTCCATAACAGTACTGCAGAGTCTGTGGTTTCCAAAAAAGTTGCAAATTAACATGTGAAATCACAACACTGAAAAGTCGTAACTCAGAAATCCCCAGACTGGTTTGGGTGGTAATTCAGACACTTCAGCTGACATAGAGATCCTTTTTTTCCCCCCCAAATTAATGTGGCAAGCCTGAATAACAGAAGTTGATACAAATGTTGCCAGAACTTCCAAAGTCTCAAAAGAAAGGTGATACATACATAGCTCTTGGCTAATGTAGGCACTCTACAGATGCACATGTATCTATGGTACATGCTCATGACAAAGTATGTACTATACAGGCTCAGGGACTTGTAGCTACCCTTTATGCAAACTAATAGTACTGTCAGCTTTTTGCCACCTAGAGGATGGGTTAAAACATCCTGGATAATAGGGGAAACTCAGATAATGTAAGAAATCTGGGGCAACGTAGAAACCTCATTTTTTTTCCAGAGAGCCCAGGCTAGGTCTGGTTGCGTGGTTGTACTCTGCTGCTTCATGTCCCACTTGGGACCACATCATAGCTGGAAAACTTTCCCAGGTTTGGGAGCTCTGGAGTGCAGTGAAGCCCAGCTGGCTCTGCATGGTGCTGGCACAGGCCCTGCAAAACTTAGCAGCTTGGGCTTTGTGATGTGCAAAACCAGGCACGCTACTCCTGGGTGCAGAAGAGCTGCAATCACAGCCTAGTGCACCAGAAATAGTAAGTCTTGTTTGAACTGAGTTCCCTTAGAAGAAGTAGCCTGCTTGGGTATTTCTGCATCACCTCTTGGTTATTCCAGGCTTCAGGCAAAGCTTCCTGCAGAGTCCCCCTTACCAGCTGAATGTCATGGCTAGTTAGATTGTCAGGGCTGACTCAGCTAACTAAAACCAGAGCCATTTCCCTTTAAGGACTGTAGGAAAATCAGTGGCAAGTGAGTTTAATTCCTGTGCGTAGCCATGTCCTGTCTTTGCAGTTTGGAAAGGTCCTCTGGGAAAATCGCATTCACTGCACACTCGAGGAATCATTGAACTGGCTGGAGCTATATCGTGTGGCACGGGACGGTCTCCCTTGGCATACATTGGCTATGGATGCTACTGTGGACTGGGAGGACGAGGCTGGCCTAGAGATAAAACAGACTGGTAAGAAAAACACCGTCCCTGTGTCCAGAAGCAGTGAAGATCTCCCCATCCTTCCCTGTTTGTACTACTGTGACTCTATGGACTCATTTTCTGCCTTGTGGAGAGGGAACTTAGTATATATGAACAGTACTGGGGATTTGTGGGTAAGGACCCACATATCACTTGGGATTTGAATGAGAGTTTAACCTCCTTCTGGATGAGCCCAAAGCTCTTGGGATCTTGTACTATGTGGGGTAGAAGGTAAAGGAGAAACCAGGATATAATTTCCTGAAACAGCTGAATGTGTATTCATGGAGAGCAAACTCTGCCTGACAAAAAGAGAGTGTTCCAAGGTATTTGGAGGGTTATTTTACCCAGATCTTTAAAATGTCAGCAATGGGAATATCACTGTTTATCCTCTTGAAGAAATCCAAATTGTTGCAAGGAGGAATCAATCAAACCTGTCACCTTCATCACCTGTTAGTTCACACTGAATCAGGGAAGAACAGCAAGGGAGAGCATGGTATTATTTCCCGTTCTTCGTTAGAGGGGGGAGATGTTGTGCTTGTTATTCCTAAGGCTACAAACAATGTGTCTAGGAAGTGTTGCAATCAAAGGTTTCTTTCGTGTGATTAGCATACATGTAAAGCTTGAGCATAGTGGACTCCTGTGTGCTCTGAACCTGTTATTTGCAATCTTGTCCAGTTTGAAATACCAAAGACAGAGCACACAAGTCTATCTTTACCTAGTCAACACTCCAGGCGTTACTTACAAGCAAGCCCTGCTTTTAGCAGCAGTGAGAGCAGTCTTCAACTTCCTTCAACTGTGAAGGGAACTGAGCTTGCCAGAATACCTTGGTGCTGGAGACATTTCACTCTGCTACAGAATTCTGCTGAATTGTCAGGTCAGAAAAAGGGAGAGGAAAAAAAAAGAAGAAAAGATGTCTAGGTTAAAGACCAACTCCTCTGTGAGCATGAAAAAGAAGTTGTCCCTTAAAATTAATAGAGCTGCCTTCATTAATGCAGCAATGTTTCACTCCCCAAACCATCTCATCATGTCCTTTTTTTTTTTTTTTTCCCTGTGAAATATTTCATCTATGATCAGTCACTATGGGGCTCACAAATGATGAGTAACTACCTACGAAGGGCCATAGCTTTCAGCTCTATAGGTTTCTTTTAATTTTCAGTAATATCTCTCGATCTGCACATCACCATCGACAGCCGTGGATGTGAGGTGTTTAATTATTTCTGTTACCCTTTACCAGTTCTCATAATAAAGCCTTTAAAGTAAAACATGACTTCACTAATTTGGAGTACTGCTTTTATTGAAGGGCTGAGCAGAGGGACCTAAAAGCTGTTTTCCATAGAGGCTGAGTGACCTCCACGTTTATGTGATTCCAGGAGATGCAAGTAGTCAGCACTCCTGAAAAACAGAGAGCAAAATATGGCTACATGTTCAGCAGCCAGTGTTTCTGATGTTGTTTGAATCCCATTGGATATGGATTTTATCCTAAAGGCAGAAAATGAGACTTTGCAACAGGAAATGCCTCAAAATACAAGATAGTTTGTAAAAGGGAAGCTTGATCCTTTAAGTACAGTCATTATTATTCCTTAGTTGCAATGCTTGGCTGCAATAGAAAAACTGGGAGGTTTTAGTTAGGTTCTTAGCTGGGAAGAACCAGCAATGCCCCACTAGATTTAGCCCTAAAATATTATATTTTCTCTGTGTTAAAGAAATATTGATATCTGTTAACAGAGAACTACTGCAAAGATCAGTGTGGCTGAGGACTCCATGCCTGTGAAAGTGATCACGTTACTTTCCATATTTGCCATTCTAAAAAGGGAGGAAGCAGAGTGGCAAAACTACTGGCCATGACTGACAAACGCTGTCTAAAATGACTCACCCCCTTGTCTAAAATGACTCACCCCCTTGACATTCTAGGTTTATTACTGAGACCCTTACAAAAGGAGTCATTTTCTTGTGAGCTACTCGGTCAATCTGTCTAGACAGGGCTAGAATGCTTCTAAGCACCTCTCTTTTATTTGAAAAGAAAAAAAGCCACTAAGTGGGTAATCCTTTTATAAGGTTTATTCCACGCACTGACTTTGATGTGGTGTTGTCAGTAATTACCTTTTCTCTTTTGTCCCACTCTTACACACTTCAAGACATAATGGCATCTCTTCCACATAGTCAATAGATTTTTTTTTTTCTCCCTTCTGGTTCCCTGGGTTGCTGCAGCACGTATTTTGTAAACCAGGACCTGATGATGCTCAGCGTGTCCCTGAAAACACCAATGCCATGAAAGGCAGGGTGGCATGTATGACTCATCTAAGTCATAGGATCGTTAAGGTTGGAAAAGATTTCTAAAACCATTGAGTCCAACCTTTAAGTTCTGGCATACTCATAGGAAGAAGTAAGATTTCCCGCCTGTTGCAAAGTTAAAGCAAAAGAAAAAGCCACAAAGCAACGATGGGGCTGTTAGCATGACAAATACAATGTGACAAATTCTTACCTTATTGGCATTACCACAGCAGGGGTCTGGCCAGCTGATCCCTGGGGACCAGCCGGAGCTGTCTGTAGCCATTAGGGCTGTCTCATAGCCCAGAGGTGATGAACAGGTTGTTTACTATCTAGATGACACAGTTGTATTTGTTTTCCATACCAGTTGACCAGTGCTCTGCCATGGTGTTGGCTGGCTCTGTTTGTGTTGGTGTTAGCAGGTTATTAAAAGCTTAACACCACTCTGACCCAGGTGCAGCAAAGGGCATTTCCAGACAGGAGGGGACTCTCTGAAGGTGGCAAAAGACAACAAAAGGCTTCCTCAGTCTTTGCTCCCTGGCATCTCATTGCATCTGAAACAGATGTTTGTAAAACATGAATGCCAGTCTTCTGGCTTTGAGTTGGTGTAAGCTACATGTCACCCTGCTGCAGCTATGGGTATCATCAGGAGGAACTGCTGTAAGTGGAAGCAGAACTGTGTCCCAAATCCTGTGGTCCTGCAAATTTGTGCAATTCTCCCTGATTTTGCCAAGCCAGATAAGGAGCAGTGAGTTCTCACAGCTAGCTAGCTCACCTCTCTAGTGCTCGTTTGCTTGTCCTTGCCTGATTCACAGACCGTCTTTTACCTCCAACAATATCTGTTCCCAATTCTCCTACCTCTTTTTCTGTTTGTTCCCTCTGGCTATCCATGAAGAGCAGTTTCTTTTCCTTTGGCAGAGGCTCCTAACACCTTCCTTTGCCCATCTACCTTCACATTGTTCTTCCTCTTCACATACTACCATCCCTGACACCAACTTTCCCAATTTGCTTTTTGGTTCACTCCCCAGACCTCTCAAACCCTGTGATTTCTACAGCTGGCACTCTGCCTCAGCTAGGCCTGATTGTGGCTCCCCACCATGGTCTCCTGTGAGCTGTGTCCCATGTATGAATGAGACAGAGATGATGGGCCTGCTCTGCTCTCTGTCATCCCCTGAGGATGGATTAAGCTTTGCTGAAGCTTCAGGTCTTAGCCAGGATTCCTTGGGCTACAGCAAATCCTGCCGATGACACATACCCCAGTTGCAGCTCAGTGCCTTAGTGCATATTTTATGACACCTTGTAGATGGACTCAAATGTTGGAGAAAGCCAAGACTTTCACACTTTCCACAAGGCTGCAAATTCTTCCCTCCTTTAGCCTTTCATGTCTAACCTCTTCAGGACAAGCCTAGGAGGCAAGTGTTACCAGACCAACAAAGGTCTGACCCACAGCCTGCTACTCTCGTCCTGTCCAACAGAACTGGTTCCACAGGCTGGGTAAGGTCTTCTCAATTATAGCAATTGCTGCAATTCCTCATGGGAAAACTTCTAGATATGTATGTCTCATAGGGCTTAGTCCCTTTTCAAAGTCCTTTGAGGAGCTGGCATGGAAGAAGATACTCATCTGCTACTGCTAACTTGCATTTCTAGATTTCACGATGCAGTGAGCAGCCTGGTTGTAATCTTCACACAGGTTTCATCTTCGTAGGTTGAGAAAAAAAGGCATTTAGTTTGCAGACTCATCTGTGGGATGAAATTGCTACTTTTAACTACTAAATTCAGACCTCAGTCAGTAGGGAAAGCAGAATGGACTAAATACAGCCTCCATAAAATCACAGGGGTTACCATGAAGGCTGAATTTGATCTGTTGTCTCTTTCACATGATTCATCTGATCTGGTTCCAGGGATTTTATTAGAATTTGCATCAGTGGTGAATTTTTTCTGCACTTCAAAAATTGGTGGGTTTTTTGTTCTTGTTTGGTTGGTTGGTTTGGGTGTTTTGTTTGGTTTTTGTTTGTTTGTGTTTTTTGTTTTGTGTTTTGTTTTGGTTTTTTTTTTTCCTGGACTTTATTACCTCACAGAGCCCACCATCCCTCATATCCATAAACCAATTTCTAAAAGAGAAAAATCCTCCTGCAGCAGAGGGTAACGAACTTCCTGATGCTCCTAAGCTCTTGGGTAAGGTACTGGCAGCTCCCAACATGTCCCTAAAGAAGCCCTAGTTCTTGAACAAGAAATCCTTCTTGCAGTGTTTTTCCGCTTTTTCACGGGGAAAAATGATAGATCCCAGACTTTTATTGACTCAGCTCATCAACCTCTTGTACTGATTCACATCCACAACTCCAGAGCTTCTCTAAAAGCTGTCCACTCATCATTTACCCCAAAACCCAGCCTGTCTCAATTCTTCCCACTTAGTAGAGTGGTTTCTCTGTAGAGTCAGCGTAATCTTGCAGAGATGGCTTCTGGAAATACAGATCACTCCCATAGGCCTTCAGCCTCTGACCTTGCATCTTTGTTGAAACAACCTTTGTTATTCAGCAGAGAACCTCCTTAAGTGCTGAATTTTTACTCAGTGTATTTTGAGTCCCTAAACTACCAGAAAAAAATTCAAGGGAGGTCAAGTTTTATATAAATTCTGAAGTAATTGACAGTGAGATTTATCTACCTTACTAGTCTGTAGGACAGATGTCATCAGCTGAGCTACTCACCCTCATCCCCCTCTATGGTCAGTGAAAAGCAATTGCACTTTCAAATGCAATGCTTTTCACTTATCTTAGATCTCTGCAGCATGAAAATGTGAACTATGCCCCAGATATGCATATAGAGAGCATTGAAGGATCTGAAGTTAGCTGATACAAATTTCACCATTGAGACTGATGAACTTGTAGCCAGCCCTCAGAAAGCGGATAGGCCAAAGAGCATGGGGCAGGTCCAGGGGAACTGAAGAGATGAAACTTCTTGGTGATATTGAGGAAGGCAAAAAACATCCTATCTCCAAATTCTGGGATGGGCCTAAGCTAGTGAGCCACAATCACTCACCTTGTAGGAACACTTCAGTTCCCTTTCAGTGAGATTACCATATTTTGACCTTCTCAGAGATGTCAGGATACTTGGCTCATCAGCAGATGATTTATTGACAGCTTGGGGCAAACATTGCTGTCGAGAGCTGTGTGTGAGCTGAGCCGCCCCGGAGTATATGCAAACATGCAGGATGCAGGAGGACACCCAGACTCTACTTGTCATTCTCTCCCAGGTGCTGCCACACGCACGACTGCTGCTACGACAAGGCAGAGAAGGCAGGCTGCAGCCCCAAGGTGCAGCGCTACCGCTGGGCGTGCGAGCAGAACACCGTGCGGTGCGGTAAGGAAATGCTTGCGCCTGTCGGGTGTGTTTCGCTCCCTCTGCAGGCACTAGGCTGACCAAAGAGCTTTGTGCGCCCCAGAGGCAGGTCTGTGTGAGCTGAGCTGCTCTCAAAGCTGCTTTAGGAAACGTCTGCTCTCTACCAAGCTCTCTGCCCATCCCTGGATTGATAGGCTTGCCAAGAGTCCCCAGCTAGAGCTGGGAGGAAAGCTGGAGCCCCAGCACCACCCATTCCAGGTAACCTGAGTGCTCTGCAGGCTGAAGAGTGAGAGTAGGGTTGTCCACGAGCCATCTCAGTTTGGCAGGGGTGCAGACTGTAGACTTTCTGTTCATGGCATTAATCGGTGCCTGCTCCTAGCCGACCTCTTTCCACAGCTGTGCAACGGTCTACGGGGATGCTCTTCCCATTGCAGTTTTGGCCCTCCCTCCAGCAGCACTGTTTTACGTACTTTTATGTGCTGCTAGAGAAAAGCCATGCTATTTTGCACAGCTGCAGGTTAAACAGGTTGCCAGCCTGTATCTCTGCCTCGTGTGGGGCTCCAGCGGGGATTTTTGAAGCTTGCAGAATCAAATGCTCTCGAGTGCTGCAGGCATACAGCAAGTGTAACTGTGCTCAGCTCTACAGCTGGTACCCAGTCAAGAAGGTTTGAATTACACAATCACAGCCTGTCAGTGCCTTGCACAGTTTGTTTTGACATCCACCAGATGACTTGAGTCTTAGTATTTGTCACTTCTATTTCTAAGTCTTCAAGAAGTCCCTGGTGGCAAAATCCATTGTAGAACACTTTGAAAGTTTGAAAAGAAGCACGTGAGATTAAAACTTGTCTCCACAATCATCAAAGCTACTTGCACGAACATTAAAAGATATTTCTATCTTATCAGAAAACTGTATTCTATTGGTGCAATCCTCAGCCTCGCCAGCAGCTGAAAACATGCCAGCAGGTATGGGAATGGGGCACAGCACATCTGCAGTTCCTCTTTTCAAAGTGCCAGAACAACTTATTTAATACAAAGTGCTGGCTAAGGAATGCGCCACTTTAATGTATAACTGCTCTCCCTCCTGCTTGCCCATATTTCCATAACTGACTGGTATTCTATGCTAGTCATCTTTAAATGGGGAAAAAAAAAAATCCAGTTTCTTTTTGCTGTGAGGGAACAATCCAAATTGTGTATATGAGATGTATCACTGAGTCTATGAGACATGTGCAGAGTCTGTCCCATAGGAGTGCACTGGGCTGCAGTTGCTCTGACTTGGCTAACAAGCATTAGTTAAACAAATGTCATTAATTCCCTAACTGATCTCCAGGCAAGACCTGAGATGCATCCATCAACTGTTCTCCATAAGCCCTCAGCAGGTTTCACTTCCTCTGACATACCCCGTGGGGAGGAACTATAGAAATGTGTTCTGAAGGCACATTTCCTACCCCAAGCTACAGCACAGCAGGTGTTACTGGGGTGTGAAGGTGTAATGTCATTCCATTAAAACAAAAGGGATGAAGAATTAAATTGCCAGGTGTACTTGCTGGGCTCAGGGTAAAGATGTCCAGAGGCTTTAGAAGCAGAACTGTTTGCACTGTCATTTCAATGTAAAAGGAATTAAATGCTTTTTGCCTGACACTGTAATATAAACACCGATATTTTAATGTAAATTAAATAGAAACTCATTTTACCTGGGATTTCTCCTCATTTTTCTACTGTTCAGTGGGTTTTTTTGTGACATGAAACTAATTGGCAAAACCATATTCCTCAGTCCTTATATACCATAGTGGGTAGGCAAATTCCATTCAATAAACACCTGAAATATAGAAAAGGCTGTAAGTTGTGGAGGCTGATCAAAAAAATCATTCTGCTCTAACAGAAATGCTGCAAAGCCAGGCTTTTGTACTCACATTAGACAGACAGTGGCTGGCACAGCACAGGAAGAACTCAAGGAGCAGAGGGGCAAGGAGAATACCAGGCAAGATTGGTAGCTAAGAAAAAGGTGGCCTTAGTGCTAAAAACCTAATTTGTGGGATCCTTGAAACACTTTTACCAGTAAATGTGTGATTATTCAGACCAGCTTAGGAAACACAGGCTTTATTTATTTATCAGATACATGGTTGATCCAGCAAAGTCCAGTGTAACCTGAAAAAAATTCTATACTTGTTGCAGTTGGTTTTGGAGCAAAACTTTACATGAAGTTATATATTAAACTTTGCATACTGGGGGGTTTTGTGGGTGTTAGATAATCCATGGTAGCAGCCTCAAAGAAACAAGGCACTTTGCTTTGAAATAATATTAGCCCAATGGCTGTATTTAAGACACCTAGAGGTGGTATGGGGTTCATTAACTCAAAATCAGTCATTTTCAATGTAGCCATCTAAGCTAGTGGCTTTGATATTCCTTATGGTCCTTGCTTAGTCATGTGGTCATATTGTTGCATTCTCTGTGTTCCATGTATGGCTTTGATCAGCTTTGTTAGCTGCTGGCTCATAAAATTCAGGTACCTGGCCCTGCTGCAGAGTTCCTTGGCTCCTCTTCCATGATCAGAGAGAGATGTAACAACAGCTGATGGAACATGAGTGAAGAATGCCCAGTGGGTGCTTCTATGCCCTCAGGTTTCTGCCTCTGGGAGTCTCCTCCTTTCAAAGCAGCATTTTTTTTTCTTTCAAAAATCGGTCTGTTTTGCAGAAGGAAGAATTAGAAGGGAAATTTACTGACTGAGGAAAGGTGGAGTATTTTTAGTTCAGGCTAAGATAAAATAATTTTCTTTTTTAGCTTTGACTGCTGAATTAAGCCCCCATTGATCACAGAGCTCTGGAAGCAGGGAGTGCTCTGTACAGGGCAAATTTTTATAGCCACTGCCAATTTACAGTTAGCTGCTTTCTGATGCTCTTGGTCACAGTTAACATCAGATCTGTTGACAGACAGAGGACAGGGGAAGGTCAGATCTACTCACAACATGAAATGTTGGGCCTGCTGCCATAGCCTCTGATCCCTAAGAGTTGCTTTTTCAGGGAACTGTTCCTCCTAACACTGTTTCTTGCCTTCATCTGATACAGAATCTCTCATCCTCTGCTCACATTTTCTTTTGCAGATAACCTGACAGACCAGTGTGAAAAAATGGTGTGCCTGTGTGACCAAGAAGCAGCCAAGTGTTGGGGAGCAGCCCCATATAACCCACACTTCGTCCTCTGGCCAGATTTTTTATGTGGACAGACTCATCCCACCTGCCATGTCAGATATGGGGGGCCAGAATAGTCTTTTTAGAACCTTTCTGCTAACCCTTTGAATAAAAAGGTGCTGGAATAAAATTTTTCTTCTATTTCCAGAGCTAACATTGGTGTGAGAGAATTTTTATCAGGCCAGGGTTTATGGGGAGGAGAGACAGACCAGGCAGGTGCAGTGGTAGAGTTGCCCTCTATGTGAAGCAACACTTGGAATGTATCGAGCTCTCTCTTTGGGTGGATAACGAGCAAGACTTTTGGGTTAGGGTAAAGGGGCAGACCAGTAAGGGTGACATTGTTGTGGGTGTTTGCTACAGGCCTCCTGGTCAGGAGGAGGAAGTGGATGAGGCACCTTCCACAGGCAGCTTGAAGCAACCTCACAGTCACAGGTGCTAGTTCTGGTGGGGCACTTTAACTACCCTGACATCTGCTGGAGAAGCAACAGGTGACAAAAATAAGTAAGAGGCTGGAACATCTCTCTTATGAGGACAGGCTGAGAGAGATGGGCCTGTTTAATGTCGAGAAGGTATGACTGAGAGGGGACCTCATCAATGTCTATTAGTATCTGGAGGGAGGGTGTCTGGAAGATGGAGCCAGGCTCTTCTTGTTGGTGCCAAGCAATTGGACAAGAGGCAATGGGCAGAAACTGATGCACAGGAATTTCCACCCAAATATGAGGAAGAACTTCTTTACCATGTAGGTGACCCCACACTGGAACAGGTTGCCCGGAGAGTTTGTGGAGTCCCCCTCACTGGAGATATTCAAGAACCAATTGGACAAAACCCTGTGCAATGTGCTATGGGATGACCCTGCTTGAGCAGGGAGGCTGGACCAGATGACTCACTGTGGTCCCTTCCAACCTGACCCATTCTGTGATTCTGTGCCAGGGTAAAACATACGCTGAATGAAGGACAACATCCTGGTCTGATCATGTCCCTTGCAGAAACAGAGGGTTTGGTCTGCAGTGCAGTGGGAACACATTATTGTCACCAAATGGCTTTTTTTTTTTTTTTTTTTTTAGATCACAGAATCATAGGATAGTTTGAGTTGAAAGGGGTCTTTAAAGATCATGTAGTTTCAATCTCCCTGCAATGAGCAGGGACACCTTTAGTCAGATCAGGTTGCTCAGAGTCCAACTGTCTTATCCCTCATGCTCTTGCCTCATTGCACTAGGGACACTTCTCAGCTGTGTTGCAAGGGCCAGTGTTTCTGACTTCTCCTTAGTAGTAGGTGCAGCCATACCTTGCAAAAGAATATACTCCTCACCTGTTACACGTGCTTCAGAGCTGATATGCTGCTCTCTGATGCATTTAGAAGATAGTCTCCTATACTGGTACATCCCCCTGCCACTGACTGCCTGGGAATCAATTACTGTCACGTTAGGAGAGGGAGACTGTGGAGAACATCAGTCATGTCAAGAACTTTTTTTTTTTTTTAAGGGTATTAGAAGGCTTATATCAAAACACTAAGTTTCCTTCTGGCAAGAGTAAAACAAAATCCCATTCTTTCAATCGGGGGTAGCTATGTACAAGTGGGCCTTCTTTCTGCCTTTGTTACAAGCCTGGAGGCTGAAGCAGGGCAATGGGACAAGAGCCTCTATACCAGGAGGCACGGGCAGATGGGAGCCACAGCTACACCCCAGAAGCAACACTTTAATTTTTTGGGTAGGTGGAAGCAGCTGGGTAGGTCCTTCTGTCTCTGCTGAAGCACAGCTGACAAACTTTGAATACCACCTTTAAAATAAGAAATAACAGCTCAGAAAGACCCTAAGTACCTCATCAGAGTTTAAATGCACACATATGTGGGCAAACTAAGTGGTGTTTTGGCAGATGAGAATACAAATTTCTTCACAAAAGGCTGCTTTGCTCCTTGCCGCAGGAGGATGGTGAATATGCCACTGTGACTGTCAAAGCTGCAGGAAAAGAAACAGGCTAACAAAAATTAAAATGCCAAAGACAACAGATAGAGGCAAACGTTTTTATTCTGTCTAGAGGTCCATTTTTTGGCTTACAGGGCATCAGGAGTTGTTCCACCTGCAGGCGTTGCATCTTCCAGCAGCTCCTGTAATGTTGCACCTCAAGCGATGCTGAGCAAGAAGGAAAGGAGAGAGTGAGTGAACGATGTAGAGTCAGTACAACACAGTAAACTCCTCCAAGGCTTTCTGGCAAGTAAAGAAGTTGTGAATTCTTCATGCAGAGGGTTTGCAGAGGGCTGATGCTGTGTGGGCAGCATTAGCCTAAGGTAGCAAGTATGCTTCCTTGTAAGGGGTGGGGTGGAAGACCCTCCCCGTTGAGGGAGGCAGAGCTCCTGGCGCGTCCCTGTCCCTGCCACGCTGTCCATCAGGTGGCGGCAGCGCTCCAGTGAATGGCAGGAGCAGCTCTTCCTTCAGCCTTTCCGGGAGGGGATTTTTTTCAGCAGGCCGAGCAAGACCTTTTGAGTGCCAGGAGAAGAGGTACAAATCACACAACTCCTCACTGAACGCAAAAAGGTCAGCCTAGCTCGATTTGAAACGCAGACCACACCTTGGGTTGCACAAAATGGGAACTAGGTTTGCTTCAAAATCCAGCCTTCTGTGTCAGTCTCCTCAAATTAGACTAGTTGACAGAACTGGAAAAAAAACAGGTAAGCTTTCAGGTACACCAGCCTCTTATTAGGTCATTTCTATGGCTCATGTGTGATGAAAACCTCTAGTTTTCCCAACTTGATCAGCTGATGTAATAAAAGAGATAATTGGGTTTTACAAACCACACCTCACTTACTTAAGCCATCATAGGCCTTCTGTACACAAGCGTTACAAGAACACAGACATAAGCATGAAGTGGGTAGGAGGAAGAACCCTCCTTCAGCATAAACCTAAAAGAATGAATGAGTCCTAGGACTCATTGTTGAAAGAAGCAGCAGCATCTCACTGAACAACTCTTTGTCGAAAGTGGCAATTAAAGAAGATCCTATTGTTTTGTTCATAAGTAGCTCTTTAGGGCCCATGCATCAAGGTCTACACAGCGTGAACAAAGAACTACTTGAAAAAGATGGAATACAGAACAGGCTCCATTAGCATTTTATGCACACTGCTTATTTCCTGATCCAGATCCCACGTCTGACCAGAGGTAAGTAAATGGTTAATTCGTTTATAAGTAAGTTGAAAAAAGGTACCTTTGGCGAGACTCTTGTCTCATGCAGAGGATGCACTTCCTCAGCTGGGGGGTTAAAACAATGATCAGAACCACTATGCCTCCAATCCCGGCTGCCACAACCCCAATGATTGTTCCAATGGATTCTTCTATACCAAACAAGCCTGGAGGAGAAGGGAAGGTAGAGAGAGTAACACAAAGTGTGGTCCAGACAGGTATATGCAATGCAGCCAGTGTGTTTTCTGCTGTGGGTGAAAAGGAAGCTACTTACTGTGATATTGATTATGCTGATGTCTTGTCTGACACGAAATCATGGGCTTCTACATGGGAGAGAGTGTATTGCACTACAGAGGTATTGATTTTTTTCACTCCAGTGTAGCAGCTTTCTGGGGCTTTGGAGACAGGACAGCCCCACTGCCCTAGGAATCTCCCTTAATAGCAAGGTGCTATGGGATGGCAAAAGATGCTGCTCCCTGAATTAACGGGACTTACACCATATGCTTTATTTTCAAATGGAAAAAAATTACTCTGACAATTTTGAAAAAATCATCGGTCTCCTTGTCTGCCTCCAAAGGAGGCAGCACAGGAGAGCGGACAGAGCTCTTCTGAAATCCTTTCTTCAATTGGTTGCTCTTTGGGACTGTTACATGGCAGAGATGGCATAGTGCTGAAATTACATATTTCATAGTCTCAGGAACACACAAAAGCAATTATACTACCTAGGGTGTAGACATTGCAAGGGTAACCTGTGCTACTGAGACTATGAGATCAAGCCAAGAGAAGAGCCCATTAGACACACAACCGAGCCCTTGCAGAAGGGCACAGTTTTCTTGCCTTGTTAATGTAACAGTTTAAACTGAATAGTTTCAAACAAATTAGTAAATCAGGCTCAAAAGGGCAAAGGCTTAGTGAATCTTGGTGAGCTAGAAGCTTTGGTAATTAATAAGGGGGAAATGGCACTTGCATAATTTACTCTTGACACAGAAGGCACTATTTTTTCTTTTTTTTTTTTTTTGTAATTAGATAATAAGATAATAACCCTTCTGATGTGTTGACTTTTTGGGACTGCAATGTGTTTAGCCTATAGAAAATGGTTTGACATTTCCAGCTGATAAAGGTAAAGCGAGTTATCTCTTTACTTAATATGCCTAGTGTCTATCTGAGAGACTAAGAAGACATAGCATGGCACTTTTAATGCTACTTTGATTTTAATGTGAATAAAGCTAATCAGAAATTATACAATATGATCCTCATGTTTATTATGGGATTACTTATGTCATCCAGAGTTAAGGAATGACTATGTAAGTTAGTGGGTTGGAGAAAAATAATGTGAAAAAAGAGGTCTGGAGCTGTTCCCTGAGATGGTATCTTGACACCTGTCGCTCATGGGGGTTCTGCCAGAGCTGTGATTATGAGGGAACTCGTCTGACTGTTTCATTCTTGGCACTGACTTAATTTTTATGGATAAAATTATTCCTTCTTCTTTTGGTTGTATATGCTCCTCCTTATATAACACCTGTGTGACTGTTTATAGAGACAAGCCAATCCAAATTAGCTTGCCTCACAAAAATAATGAGAAATGCTATAGAGTAATTACACTCCATGACACCAGGCCCTTACAGCTAGAGGACAAACAGGCCAAATTCCCTTACTGCAAGTGTGTAAACGAGCTTTGGAGAAAAGGCAAGGAGAAAAGAAGTCAATAACATCAAATGATACCCAGAGCTCTCCTGATCCTGAGCTTTGTGCCATCTCCTGTCGCCACCTTCCCATCTGGAAGTGTAACCTCACAGAAATAAATTCCATGGTCACTGGTTGTCACATTGAGGATAACCAGGGAGGCATCCCCTCGGGACAAGTCTCCAGTCATGAAGACCCTGGAGTTATTTGGCAAGATGGTCACATTGTTTTCTAGCAGGTCCATCTGCCCCTTTTCATCTTCTTTGTACCACTTCACCATCAGGTCACTCAGGGAGG